TCTACATTATTTCATTTTTCATTTTATTTTTTCATTTATCAACTCTAATACACTATAAACAAAAATGTTCTAGCGACACATTTTGGTAAAGCAGCTTCTTTTTCTTTTTTTATTCTTTTTCTACTTTGGTGTTAGTTGCTTCTTCATTTTTAAATTTTTTCTTTGCTTCTTCTTCATTTTTATTCTTCGATTTTTTATTTTTGGTTTTAATCTGTTCAAAAATTATTTTTATAACTTTTTTAAATTTTTAATTTATTTAATTTTTAATTATTTTTCAAGATGTCGTTTGACATAACAGAATGATTCCTTGAATTTTGTACTAATTTAATTATATTTTATGCAAATTCAAATAATTAGATGTCGTGTTAATTTTATAATGAGTTTTATTTGAATTTAAATTAATACATTAATTCTATTAATTTTGTACTATTTATATTTTAGATAAATGATTGGCCGTGCAACGCACGGGTACAAAATATAGTCATAAACAACATGACAACTTAAAATGGGAGGAAATAGTAAAATATTGACTCCACAAAATAACACGTGTAAAATTAGAGCTAATAATAATATATTATTATTATTATTGTTGTTGTTGTTGTTGTTATTATTATTATAACAACAATTATAATAATGAAAAGGTCTCAATTAATAAAACGGATGAAGAAGGAAGGATGGACTCCAAAGTCCAAACGCATGCATACTTTAACTTTTGCGTTAATATATTTGGGAGAATGAAATGTGTGCATTCCGTCCCACACCGGCTGAAGAAGAGAAGATAAGCGGGGCAGCAGTGTATAAATACAGGCCGAGGGACTCAATGCTACATACTTACCTGGACGGGGTCAATGGGCGATCAGGAAAGCCCATGGCCTAGGCTGATGACTTCCATTGCACTTTGGAAGGGTGTCCGCTTAAGGTCTACCCAAGCGGTGGAGCCTACGTCATAATTTGTGGCAGCGGGGCCTGCGTTCGCGCGTGCCCTACCCAATCCCATTATAAGTTTATCTTTCTCTAATTGTATAAGTTAAAGTTAATTATTTCTGCTAAGTAATACCTTCAAATTGGATGGGCTTCCTTACAATTACTTCACTACATAGTGTAGAGCTTCGCAGTGCAGAAGACGGCGTGGAGCACCGCAGCTTGCACGAACTCCAAGTACTTCAGCCTCGGTTCCTCGCTCTGAATCTTAACCTTCCATGGAACAACACAAATCAAACACCAGAGAACAAGCAAAAACCAATCGTAAATCAGTGAAAACGCATAAAAGAGACTGAAAACAACTCAAAGAACTGGAGTTTTCGGAATCGGAATTGGATTTTACCGTCTCCGGCTGGGGTTGATTGCTAGGGTTCGTTCCTTCGGCCATGATCGCAGATCTTTTTTTTTATTTCTCTGAAATGTAACGGTCAGGTAGGCGGACTGATTGTAGATACGGAGTATTATGTATATATATACTCCTATAATATATGCAAATGAAATTGGCGGTGGGATGTGAATAGAACAGGTGTCAATAAACGCGGTATGCTGCCGTCGGAAATTGGGATTGTTTTTGAAAGATATCCAGCTAAATAAAACAAAACCAACAACAACAACAACAACATAATAATAATAATAATAATAATAATAATAATTCTACTACTACTACTACTATGTATGGTAAGATACTCTCTACCCACAAAAAAAAGTTATTGCGGAGTGTAATGAGTAATAGGTGGGAAGAAGGATGGACTACAAATTGCTAACGCATGCACACTGAAGTTTTGAAATGTTCGTATCCCACACCGGCTGAAGAAGAGAAGATAAGCGGGGGGAGAAGTGTATAAATAGAGGCCAAGGGACACAAAGCTACATACTTACTTGGACAGCGTCAATGGGCAATCAAGAAAGCCCATGGCCTAGGCTGATGACTTCCATTGCACTTTAGAAGGGTGTCCGCTTAAGGTCTACTCAAGCGGTGGATCACGTCATAATTTGTGGCAGCGGGGGCTTGCGTTCGCGCGGCCCCTACCCAAGTATATTGAAGATTTTTTTTTATCTAAGTGTAGTATTTATTTTGTTACCTAAGTTTCTTTTAAATTCATATATTTTGTCTTTCTATGATTTTTTTAGATTGATTTTTTTAATCTACGTGTAGTATTTATTTTGTTACCTAAATTTCATTTAAATTCATATATTCTTGTCTTTCTATGATTTTTTTAGATTGATGATCCATATTTATTGAATTTATATTTTTTTTTAAAACTGAGTATAAAATTCGCACCAATGTTTATCTAGGGATGGAGCTGTTTTGTTAGTACTATTAGTGCCTTATAGTACACTACGTTAAAATTGAATGGTCTTCAATTAAATTGAATTGGAAATAAAGTCGGTCAAGCCTCGTAACGGGAAGAACTTAGGTGGACGGAGGGAGTATATACTTACAAACAGTCATTTTACATTCAAAATAGTTCCCTATGGTGAGATTATTACATTGGGTTTTACATTTATAAAAGTGATAACAAAATTTTTCAAAACTTCATAAAGTCCAAACTAAGCAACCTCTGTCTTGAAAATGCTTTCCTTATACACCGTTTCTATTTTGATATTTTTTTAAATCTTACTCATCAATTATTGTATTTTACCTTTAGTCAAATTTTTACAACTCTCCTTCCAAAAGTTGAATCAAAAAATATTTTTAGAGATGAAGTATAAAATAATAATTTCGAATGTGTGGGCTAATACTCTCCAGTCCCTATTATTTCATATTTCTTTTTTCACTTGTTCTAGAAAAGCTTTTATGTCTGATTTAATTGAATTTATATGTTTTTGTTTTTTTAGTAAATCTAATTTAACATATTCTAACCGTCGTCTATGCCCTTCAAGTTTTGATATTTCCTAAATCTAACTTATATCTATTGCCATCATTATCCTTGACCAAACATCTAAAGTTTCCCGTTTCTAATTAAACTAAAAATAGGAATTACATTTAAAGAAGAACTACGTTTGGAATTTTGAATGTGACACAATTAGAAACAATGATTCATGCAAAAACAACAAATGTGCGCATTCTCGCAATATTGGTTTGTAAGCTCCACCATAAAAGAGTACAAATGATGGTCATTAGTAGCGTGTTAATGATAGTCATTAACACGTCTGTTATGTTACACACCGTTAAAACATATCCCGAATAATTAGAGATTAATGACTAGTTAACTCTGTAAAAATAAACTAACTTTAAGCATTGAGTAAAGTAATACTAGCCCCTTCTGTTCCTTTAAACCCTTCCACTTTTGACTTATGACAAAAATAAGGAAAGTGTAATTTTGGTTGACTTTCCAATTTTGCCCCTGATGTGATAGGTAAAAGTAAGATATGATATTTTAATTATTAGTGAACAAGTATAAGGTGATAAGTAGGGTATGAAAAAGTAAGGGTAAAAATGGTTTTTGTGGAAGTGTGTTTTAGGAAATTCAAAAAAAAAAAACGAAAGGGGAAGAGTTTTGTGGAACGGAGGGAGTAGAAGATTGGTTTAATAAAAGTATGCATGTGCATTTATCAACCATACTTTTCTATTTAAGAGGTCAATTTTGAGAATCAATATCTCATTCACCCTTTTACCATTTTTAGCGTATAATATATCAAAATAATTATTTCTCTTTTAAAGAGAGCACACATCCATTAATTAAGAGTTAAAATCGTTAATGGACCTATTGATAATTATGACAAAACTTGGTACATTTAATGTCTATTTAAAATACTAAAAATTCCAAGTCTATTTATGTATATCCACAATAGCCAAAGGTAAACTATGACTATTTGTTAATTTGATTTTAGTTTAAACTATTTTCATTTTATCTCGTTTTTTCTCATTCTAATTAAATAAAAAACACTATATAAGTATAAAAAACAAGTTAAAGATAATATGCCAATCTATAATTGTTGTCCTACTCTAAGTTGCTAGCTATTGAATTGTTTTGCTTAGCCTATGAACTCAATAATATAGAAGCATGGTGTGCTGTGTGCATAAGTGTATGCAGTTGTAGGTTCAAGTAGTTGCCCTTTATGAATTTAGAAAATGAATATACTAGTCTATTTAGAGAGATTTCTTTTAGATTAATTGTTTCCAAAGATAATTATACTATTACAAAACACACTAAAATGATAAATGAAAAGGAGGTTTCCAGACAAAGCCTAAAAATGTTGGTTTTAGTTAAACAAATTATACTACGTGTATTTATTTATTGGAAGGAAAGACAATACATGCTAGATAATTATTGTTATTTTCATATTATATATAAAGTTACTCACTCCGTCCCAAAATATGATCCATAGTTTGACTTGACACAAAATTTAAGGAAAATAAAAATATGTGATTGAAAGTAAAAGAGAAGAGAGAAAAAATTTGTGAGCCATTCAAACTCTTCCATAAAAGGAAAGAGGAAGCTTTTATTTGAGATGTTCCATAAAGAAAATGATGAGTTTTTTTGGGACAAAGGGATTATTATCAAAACATTAAATTAAACATTAGATTCTATTTATTTTATCTTAATTTTATTCAATTAAATATTTAAATTGAGCATTGAATTCTAAAACGTTGACTCTACAAAATAACACTGGAAAAAAATGGGAGCATAATAATAGTAACAACAACAACAACAACAACAACAACAACAATAATAATAATAAATATAATAATAAATATAATAATAATAATAATAATAATAATAATAATAATAATAATAATAATAATAATAATAATAATAATAATAATAATAATAATAATAATAATAATAATAATAATAATAATAATAATAATAATAATAATAATAATAATAATAATAATAATAATAATAATAATAATAATAATAATAATAATAATAATAATAATATGAACCGTAATATAGTACACTCCCGAAAAAAGTCCATGAAATGTATGTTACGGAGTGTAAGGATGGACTCCAAAGTCCATAGGGATGCACACTTTTAAGTTTTGCGTTAACAATAGAATTGTGTGCGTCCCACACCGGCTGAAGAAGAGAAAATAAGCGGGGTAGCAGTGTATAAATACAGGCCGAGGGACTCAATTTTACATACTTACCTGGACGGGGTCAATGGGCGATCAAGAAGGCCCATGGCCTAAGCTGATGACTTCCATTGCACTTTGGAAGGGTGTCCGCTTAAGGTCTACCTAAGCGGTGGAGCCTACGTCATAATTTGTGGCAGGGGGATCGCGTTCGCGCGGCCCCTATCCAATATTCAACCAACTTTTTATTTCATAATAAATTAATAATTAATATTTTGTTTATTAAATATATTCGAAAGATCTTATAAATAGTTTTGCTTTTTTGAATAGTGAGAATGGGAATAAGACTCTTAGGGGGGTGTATTCAATTCCAACTCTCCAGGATTTTTTGGATTTTAAAAGTCAATGAGTATTCAATTGAGATTTTGAAAAGATATTCAATTGAGATTTTAAAAAATCTTTTCAAATCTAAGGATATTGAAAAATTGATAGATTTTTAAAGATTGTTATAAAAAATGGATTGTGATGGATTTTGAGGTTGATGTATAAATAAAAAAACTGCTTCCAAATCCAATCAAAAGGCCAACTATTTGTGTGGACTTCAAAGAGCCGATCTTCTTCCTCCGTTCATCTTCTCCATTTCTTCCTCCGTTCATCTTCTCCAAAGAGCCGGTCTTCTTCCTCTTACTCCTCATCTCCTTCCCTTTCTTCCTCTTTTCTCCACCTCTTCAGGTATGTCCTCCTCACACCATCCTTCTTCATCTTTGTCCCCTTTGCCTTCTTCTTCTACATGTGTTTGTGTGTTTTTTTTGAAGCTCCCTTGGTAAATTGCAAATGGATTTAAATCACATAAGTTGCCAGGAGTCTCTCCAATATGTCGATCAAAATCTCCCTTGGTAAATTGCAGCTTTCCACTTGGATTTTGAGGTTTTTGAGATTGGACGCATTCAAAATCCCCAATTGTGAACCCTAATCTGTTATTGAAAAATTATTTATTTTTATTTTATTGTAATCTTCTCAAAATTTTTAATAGCTAATTACAATACAATAATGTATAACTTTATAAAATAATTCATATTTATGTATAAATAATACTCCGTATATGGATTATAAACAATCAGACAAAATCCTATAAAATCCTGCTGATAAAATACATAAAATCTAACAAACTCTACTTAGACTTGAAATAATCCATGGAATTTACATAATCCATAGACTTTAAATAATATATCAAAATTTTTCAGAATCGTGATTGAATACACCCCCTTAGTTTAGTGGCTCTCTTCTTAAATGAAGAATCTTAGTAGCTATCTAATTCTTGAATACTGAAAAAAATTAGTGGCTATAGTAACACTATGAAGTTCAAATTGAATGGACTTAAGTATAATTTTACATCACTATTAATATATACTTTAAACCGTATAATTTTATACCCATAATGGTTCATACTTCCGTGAGATTAATTATATTTTCGCCCACTGCTGTAAGGATTATTGTGGATTTTGAGCGGCAATTACAATACCCTCTATCCAATATACCATCCTATGAAAACCATTAATTTTCTATATTTGCTTTGGATGATTAGTTTTAAATGGAAGGAGTAGTGTAAATAAATAGTGATGACAAAAATCTGGTTTAGGAGCTAATAAGACAAACATTGAGAAAAAATGTTAGAACAAGAAAACAAAGAGCATGAATTCTTTTAATGAAAACAAGAAAGGGTTCAATGAAATAATTGTGTCATTGTGCTTCGTTCCAAATAATTAACTTGGCATTTAATTAGATCTCTCTTTTAGTGGACCCTCTTGCCTTATTTTACAAATTGAGTTCAATGAAATTTTAAAAGGTGAATGAGTTGTTTTCCACCTCACAAAACTAATGATGCTGTTGCACGTGAATGAAATCATGAAAATATTCAAATGGACAATTTGTACAAACATTTTGGATGGAGAGAGGATGGATTAGAGAAAATATATAGAAGTGAGATCCATGAACAATCAATTTTATGGATAGATGGACAAAATAGCCAGGATTATGAATGCTTATTTTAGAAAATAAAATGTTTGAAGATGAACAATCAATTTTATGGATAGTACACGAGCTGTTCCTTCTATGAAAGGGATTGAATGTTTAAACTCCGTAGTTTAGACAATTCAAAATACGGAAAGGCCAAAAACAAATTAAGAACAAGGCGCCACAGTTTGTAGTATTCTTAATTGTTAAGGTTGTAAGTTTGAACTTTTGTAACATAGAAAAAAATATTAAAGAGAGATTCATCCAAAAGGAACAAGAAAATGCCCAAGGAAAAAAAAACAAGTTTGCAAAAATTAGGGCAATAAACTTCGGGAGCTAATTCAGTGCCTAGAGGAATAATAAACTAGAGAAAAAAATTTGAGAGAATGAAATATAGAGCTGGCAAAATGGTCGGTCGGGTCAGGTTCGGGTTTGATCACCTTGAGTTCAGGTTATTTTGGGTTCGGGTAAGTTCGGGTTCGGGCTGAGAGCTACATGTTCATAACCCAATGTCATTGACTTTGGGTCGACCCAACAGGTTATGACTTTCATTTATTTTTGAAAATTTAAAGTAATTTTTATGACAGATTGTCAACATTACGAATAAAAAACTAAATATGCACAACATTTTGAAAAAAAGTAAGAGAGATGCAATATCAATAAATTTTGTATGAAAATATAAATTTGTACATTAAAAACTAGTAAGCAAAGAAATATAATTAAAATCTTATTTTTATAGCATTATATTACATATTAAAGCATATAATTTTGAAAAATTCTTAATTAGCGGGTCAGTCAGGTTAGACCCATTTTTAACGGGTAATTTCAGGTTCGATCTGCAAAATCTTTGTTCAAAACTCAGTATTTTTGGATCAGTTCTCGGGTCATTTTTTGCCAGGTCTATTGAAATATGTGCATCCCATCCCACACCGGCTGAAGAAAAGATAAGGAGCGGGGGGAGATGTGTATAAATACGGGCCAAGGGACTCATAACTCCATACTTACCTGGACGGGGTCAATGGGCGATCAAGAAGGTCCATGGCCTAGGCTGATGACTTCCATTGCACTTTGGAAGGGTGTCCGCTTAAGGTCTGCCCAAGTGGTGGAGCCTACGTCATAATTTGTGGTAGCGGGGGCCTGCGTTCGCGCGGCCCCTACCCAATCCTTTTTCAAGCTTAATTTTCTTTTATATTTTTCATTGTTCTGTATTTATAGAAATTAATATTAAGGGATGGGTTAAGTGTTTAGTTGTTTTCAAAAGTCACACTCAAACGGAGTAGTAAAGTGTTAGAGTTTGAATTGTGAATATTTTTTAATACTTTCATAAAAGTGTTGTTTTAATAAATTTTTTTAATACTTTCATAAGATTAAATTCTATAAATGGTCGATCATAATTTGAGATTTTTCATATTTAGTACATTATTATCAGATATTATTGTCATAGTCCATTTTATTTAGGGTTCTTTCCTCATTTCATCCTCCGCCATAGATCCATGTTTGTGTCGTTAAATTGAGGGGTTGTATTGTAAATAAGACCATGCTATACTTACACCAATAAATATACTCCATTTGTACACCACATGTTTGCACAAAAATTTCGATGGTTTACACCGACACAAGTGTTGGTGCGTTAATAAAAATTCACACGGACACAAATGTTGGTGCGTTTAACAAAAATTAGTTTTACACCAACATAAAATGTTGGTGCAAAACTGCTGGATATAAATTGGGGTACAAATCTTGGGGTACATATAACATAATCCATTGTAAATATCTTCATTTGTGTTCCGCTTACATAAATGCCAAACATTTCAAATAATCAATTGCTGGAATCCCTTGCTCATGTACTAAAAAAATTAGTGCCTATAGTTACACTATAAAATTGAAATTGAATGGACTATCGATTTAATTTATTGATCCAATCTATAGGAACTTGTAATTCTCTTTGAGTCGTTTTGCCAGCCATTTCCCTCTCATTGGCAGATCCACCTTAAACCTACTGAGGGTACATGCCCTCAGGTCATATTTTTAAAATATAGTGTAAAAAGTAAACAAAATTATAAATTAGAAGTGTGCCTTCACTAAAAAAAATTGTGTCCCCTATTAAAAACAAACTCTAAAAGAAAGATTAATTATTAGAATAGAATATAGACAAATTATCTATGATATCATAGTTATATAAATTGTGATATTCCGTGAAATTCATTCCGCATTGTAGTTTTTGGTTATTGAAATATTTTGTTTTACTTATTTTAAATTTATTTGATATAAAATATAGAGTATTTGTTTTTACCATGGGGTGCTATACATCTCCTAATTGGTAGTGTTTCCGTTACTCATTTAGATCTTTTTTGGAAACATCGTTTTCGGTTATAGTTAACATTTTAGATAAAATAGAATCTGTTTCTTAATTTTCTACTTTACATGGACAAAAAAAAATAAATTGAACAAAACAGACCCCAAGTCCAAGAGATTTTTACATAGGCATATTTGTTCCAAGAAAATGAAAACACAACTTTGTTTACAATTGTGCCTTTAGTTAGAGCACCTTCATTAATTAGTGACATCCCAACATCATTTCATAATGAATGGAATCATGAAAATATTTAAACCACTGTAAATGATGTGCTAGATGAAGAGAGGGGACTATTTGTATGAACATTTTTTGGATGGAGAGAGGATGGATTAGAGAAAATAGATAGAAGTGAGATCCATGAACAATCAATTGAAATGGATAGATGGATGAAATTGATTGTGAATGTTTATTTAAAAAAAAATAAGATTGATAGATTCTAAGGATGGTAGAGTAAAAGCAATCGTGGAGGGAAAGCTTGAAGTATGTATTTAGTACTCAAAAGATATTTAAAGATGGATAATGTAGAGACAACATATAGGCCACTGCATCAGAGCCAAAACAACCATCACAGCAGAAACAGAACAACATTAAATGTCTAAGGTCTATAGTAGTAGATTCTGTCCTCTTGAGCCTAGATGAAATATAAGAGCTTAATTGGGTTGCTTAACCATATAATAGCTATGGAAAAGAAGCAAGCAACACTAAAGGTAAATGATGATTTATTCACACAAATAATCAATTAGTGTAGCCAAAACCAGCCATGAAGCGATATTTTGAATTGTCAAAACTACAGAGTTTAGACATTCATAAGAATGTTGACAGACTAAAACCACAACTAAGGAATCCCCGAGTTTCAATGAATTGATCTTCCAACTTGCACCCCGAGCGGTTCCTTTCATGAAAGGGATTGAATGTTCGGAATAATAAATAATTCAGTTCACAAGGAGAATATTCATTTAAAAGTTGGGAAAGAAAATTAGAAACCCTAAATATCAGAAGATTATGCTATATATGCTCAAGAAAAATTTGGCAAAAATATATTGGACCATAACTCAATCTGAAAGATTCACAAAAGCAAAAAAACTCAAATGATAAAACTTGCTCTGCCAGGGAGGTAGGTCCATTGCTATCTGAAACAAATCAGGGCAATCACTTCCATGCCTGCACAATACACACAGCACAAGAGGATTACCAAACACCATAAGATCAAAAAACCATTCTTATCTTTTAGGTTACTTGCACAGTAACAAATTGTAACAAAGCACAAGGCACCACATTCTTATCGGGGAAATAAGGGAAGTGGTAGGCCTTGAAAGAGTTGAAAGGAGGTGATTAGACAAGACTCCGAATTCAAATAGTTCAAAATGGTTCAATCAAAATGAGAAGAACAAAGTTGAAAATTGAAAGCATCAACAGTCAATGCTTAAGGCAGTATATAAGTTTAAGTAGAACTTCAAGCATTAAAAAAACCTAAAAATCACAGTGCAAAACTTGGTCTCCTAGGGATGCAAGTCCTTTGCAAAACCATATCCAGGAAAAGATGCAAAAAGGCCAAAAAAAATAAGAACTTGCAATAACAAAGATTAAGTTTTAGAGTAAATGACAAGGTCGAACT